AACAAGAGTCACACAGACACCATTATTAAATTTATATCGATATTTTAATATGTTGGTCATTTCTTTGCATTTAGTTCTGTATATATGTGATCAAGCTAAATGAGTCGTTTGTCGGCAATTATGATTTTAAGATACAGCCCAAAATTGGTCAGTATAGGGGTGGACATTTCGAAATTTACTTTTTTCTTTGTAAAATCGGAAGGCTACATAATTATGTCCTATGTCAACTACTTTTTTCCCGATAAAAACTCACGATAAAGTCGTTGAAATGGGACATTTTTGCTAACCTCTTAACCTGAAATAAAGCATGTTTATTGTTGCTTAACAATAAACACTTCAATTTTGAATGGCTGATTTCTCTACTTGATTTCTGCGTTTTCTTCTTTCTGTCTGCCTGTGTTCTTAGACCCATAAATTCTGAAGGGAAAGTTGTATTCGCATGGGGTTTTCACCAAATATAAACTGAAAGATAGTCAATTAATAAATGTAAAAAAAAATCGATGAGGGTCGACAAACGACTTATTTAGCTTGATCGCATCACATATTATGTCGAAGAAAACTATTTCTTTTGTAGCTCCAAAAAGGTTTCTACGATAAGTTCAACTATAGACTATTGTTTTGCTAACAAAAATTTAGGATTTTTAATTACTTGTTTACTCTTGAGACATCAAAATAGTCGTCAAAGTAGAGCGATCAAGGAAAACGTTGGCTCAATTCAGAGACGCTCTTTCTTTAGACTAGAATACCCGTAGGAATGTTTTTGGGTTTGGGTGTTTTCGTATTAGTTTATTTCCAGTCTGTCAGGTTTGACAGGGTTGGGTTGAGAAATTAAATTTAAGTTTTTTGGGACCAATATAGTTGGTTGATCCTTGGGTGTGAAGGACTGTTTGGACATGAGGAAAGTGTACTTCAAGCGCAAAAGAAAGTTTTATCTAAACGAAAGCTAATCGTGTTTGATTTTTTTTTGCGAGAATTGTCGTCTTAAAAATTGGACATCAAGTCATCATGGACTGCAGACAATCCGAACGATCGTTTTGAGCAGCACAAAATGGTTCATCGGAACACCACAGGATCATCTGTAAAATATAAAAACAAAATAAAATAAAGTAAATGCATGTACAGTTTGGGTCGAAAATATGTTTAAGTAGTGGAGGTAGTCTTCTTAGTACGGTTTGACCTTGGGCCTAGAAATATGTAAAGGTCACATAAATATGTAAATATGGAAATATGTAAATATAAATATGAATTAAGGGATGTGGAAATTTTTAACACAGTTTAACCTAATGAATGGATGGGATGAATAGGTGTGGGTATAAGGGACCGGGTACAGTTTGACCAATTCTATGGGAAAGATTGCATAAGGTTTGGAAAAAACATATATATATATTTTTATGGTACATTTGGATCTTAGCCCGAATGTGAGTTTCATACGTTAGTCCCTGTGAACGACCAGCTGGTCGGATCTTTAATCCCCCAACAATAGACGGGAGAGGGCGCGTGCCAATTCAGCGCACTAGTATTGTTACGAAGTTAATCCGATCGATACAAAAAGTAATTGGATTTCCGAATGCTCGAAAGCAGAAAGCAGCGACAGATGGCAAAAATAACCTTTGCGTTGATCAGACTGAAACGAGTACGATTGTCTATTTGGAGAATTATTTTAAAGTCATTTTTATTGGGTTTATGGGTATTGTGCAACGTTGCGTTTTCCAAGGTATAAACAAACACTCACCGCAGCATACTTGCAGGGTACAGCCTGTGTCGGCCATGGGGGTATATGATAAATCCACGATCCATAATCCATGCGTCTGTACGGAGACCGGTGGTCGATCACCCTTCGATGATCGTACCGATCCTGGAGCAAATAAATAACTCCGTCCGTGCGCCTATATTCCTCTTGTTAATCGATACAATACCAATTACACTCTTCTACACTGCCACCAGAATCATCCAAGTAAAAATATATGTCTGTGCGCGGTGATCGTAGAAAAGGGAAGGTTTTGGCATCAGCCAGAGCAAATGCTAGTACACATGGACACTACTGTATTGATTACGGCCGTCCGATCAGATAGCGCTACAGTTTTCTTAATCCGTGACGGCTAAATTATCGATTAGGCTCTATAGTCTGCAGAGGCGCGTACAATAAGGAACGGATTCAGTGGTTTAAAGCCATAACAAAACGTGCGGGCATGTGGTTTTTAAAGGGAACTACGGCCTGGAAAGTGCCCGATTGAGTGTATAGGAATAACACAACCATCATTGTGCATTTTGTAATATTTCGTACTAGAACGACCCCAAAACCAAGCTATAGCCTATCCATAGTTAAAAATTCAGTCGTAACGTGGTAAAAATGGTGCCCCTTTAACGCTGTCTGCATAGGAATGCACTGAACCCTAGTTGTACCTCCGTGCCGGATTTGTTTACAAAATCGAGGATGACTGGGTTTTATCTACGAGTATTTTACGGGGGTTATTTAGAGGGCGTGTCCAAGCACTAATTTTATGACTGAGAGTAGGCTTTTCTGATTGATAAGACAACACAAACAAAGAAAAATACAACTGCAGAAAGTATATACGTTATGACATTATTACTTTATTGACTTTATTATTGCTTTATTAAAACACTAATGTTTTTATTTGTCTGTCCCAATGTATTTCTTCGCAATTATATCGTCATTGTAATGTTGACTAGTCTTTAATCATCACTGTCTTCCTCGCTGACGTCTTCTTCATCTTGATGGAACAATCCGTCAAATTTCATCTGGTGTTTAGGCATAATTCTGCCGAGAGCCTTTTGTACGCTAATGCCCTTATATATTTTTTCTTCGAGATTGTCCACAATATCTTGATGAGTATCGTTATCTTTCAGATGTAGGTAGCTTGACAGAAAATCCCTGTACTTGTCAAAAAAGATTTGCTTGACTGCCCAGAGGGTCTTCCTATCGGCCTTTTCCTTGGCCTGATCTTCACCCATACCCTCGTTGATGTACTTTTCATGTTTTTCACTCCACATGTCACGAGTCGCTTCTTTGGACTCTTCCAACTCTTTACCCTGCTCATCCTGCTCTTTACCCTGCTCATCCTGCTCTTTACCCTGCTCATCCTGCTCTTTACCCGGCTCATCCTGCTCTTTACCCTGCTCATCCTGCTCTTTTCCCTGCTCATCCTACTCTATGACGTAGAGCAGGATGAGCAGGGAAAAGAGCACGATGAGCAGGGTAAAGAGCAGGATGAGCCGGGTAAAGAGCAGGATGAGCCGGGTAAAGAGCAGGATGAGCAGGGTAAAGAGCAGGATGAGCAGGGTAAAGAGCAGGATGAGCAGGGTAAAGAGCAGGATGAGCAGGGTAAAGAGCAGGATGAGCAGGGTAAAGAGCAGGATGAGCAGGGTAAAGAGCAGGATGAGCAGGGTAAAGAGCAGGATGAGCAGGGTAAAGAGCAGGATGAGCAGGGTAAAGAGCAGGATGAGCAGGGTAAAGAGCAGGATGAGCAGGGTAAAGAGCAGGATGAGCAGGGTAAAGAGCAGGATGAGCAGGAAAAAGAGCAGGATGAGCAGGAAAAAGAGCAGGATGAGCAGGGTAAAGAGCAGGATGAGCTCAAACAGACAGGTCTCGGCACAATATATATTAAACCAATTCATCCGTTTCTTGTCATTCGTAAATCAGCCTTTATAACTTCAACATGAATACTTTTTCTGCAGTCAAACCCCATGCTTGTAACCAGTGTGATAAAAGCTTTGGACGGAGATATAATCTCTGGCGACATACCGAAAACGCTCATGCCGAAGATGACTCTGAAATGAATGGGGTTAACGATGATTCTGAAATTGAGGTTATTCAATCTGATCATCCTGACGTCGTGGATGAATCGGGCTCGGAAACGGACTCGGAGGTAGAAGATGACGATGAAGATGAGTCTAGTTCTGAATTAGAAGACAATGCTACTTTCCAAGACTGGTTGGAAGAGTCCAAAGAAGCGACTCGTGACATGTGGAGTGAAAAGTGAAAAGTACATCAACGAGGGTATGGGTGAAGATCAGGCCAAGGAAAAGGCCGATAGGAAGACCCTCTGGGCAGTCAAGCAAATCTTTTTTGACAAGTACAGGGATTTTCTGTCAAGCTACCTACATCTGAAAGATAACGATACTCATCAAGATATTGTGGACAATCTCGAAGAAAAAATATATAAGGGCATTAGCGTACAAAAGGCTCTCGGCAGAATTATGCCTAAACACCAGATGAAATTTGACGGATTGTTCCATTAAGATGAAGAAGACGTCAGCGAGGAAGACAGTGATGATTAAAGACTAGTCAACATTACAATGACGATATAATTGCGAAGAAATACATTGGGACAGACAAATAAAAACATTAGTGTTTTAATAAAGCAATAATAAAGTCAATAAAGTAATAATGTCATAACGTATATACTTTCTGCAGTTGTATTTTTCTTTGTTTGTGTTGTCTTATCAATCAGAAAAGCCTACTCTCAGTCATAAAATTAGCGCTTGGACACGCCCTCTAAATAACCCCCGTAAAATACTCGTAGATAAAACCCAGTCATCCTCGATTTTGTAAACAAATCCGGCACGGAGGTACAACTAGGGTTCAGTGCATTCCTATGCAGACAGCGTTAAAGGGGCACCATTTTTACCACGTTACGACTGAATTTTTAACTATGGATAGGCTATAGCTTGGTTTTGGGGTCGTTCTAGTACGAAATATTACAAAATGCACAATGATGGTTGTGTTATTCCTATACACTCAATCGGGCACTTTCCAGGCCGTAGTTCCCTTTAAAAACCACATGCCCGCACGTTTTGTTATGGCTTTAAACCACTGAATCCGTTCCTTATTGTACGCGCCTCTGCAGACTATAGAGCCTAATCGATAATTTAGCCGTCACGGATTAAGAAAACTGTAGCGCTATCTGATCGGACGGCCGTAATCAATACAGTAGTGTCCATGTGTACTAGCATTCGCTCTGGCTGATGCCAAAACCTTCCCTTTTCTACGATCACCGCGCACAGACATATATTTTTACTTGGATGATTCTGGTGGCAGTGTAGAAGAGTGTAATTGGTATTGTATCGATTAACAAGAGGAATATAGGCGCACGGACGGAGTTATTTATTTGCTCCAGGATCGGTACGATCATCGAAGGGTGATCGACCACCGGTCTCCGTACAGACGCATGGATTATGGATCGTGGATTTATCATATACCCCCATGGCCGACACAGGCTGTACCCTGCAAGTATGCTGCGGTGAGTGTTTGTTTATACCTTGGAAAACGCAACGTTGCACAATACCCATAAACCCAATAAAAATGACTTTAAAATAATTCTTCAAATAGACAATCGTACTCGTTTCAGTCTGATCAACGCAAAGGTCATTTTTGCCATCTGTCGCTGCTTTCTGCTTTCGAGCATTCGGAAATCCAATTACTTTTTGTATCGATCGGATTAACTTCGTAACAATACTAGTGCGCTGAATTGGCACGCGCCCTCTCCCGTTTATTGTTGGGGGATTAAAGATCCGACCAGCTGGTCGTTCACAGGGACTAACGTATGAAACTCATATTCGGGCTAAGATCCAAATGTACCATACAAATATATATATATGTTTTTTCCAAACCTTATGCAATCTTTCCCATAGAATTGGTCAAACTGTACCCGGTCCCTTATACCCACACCTATTCATCCCATCCATTCATTAGGTTAAACTGTGTTAAAAATTTCCACATCCCTTAATTCATATTTATATTTACATATTTCCATATTTACATATTTATGTGACCTTTACATATTTCTAGGCCCAAGGTCAAACCGTACTAAGAAGACTACCTCCACTACTTGTTTAAAATGTGAAAATCTGCCCCGTATAAAATATGTACAACTACAAAAATAACCAGGCCTAATGCCGTTAAAAAACGGCGAATGTTCCGAAACTAACTGCGCGCCGGCAAAAACACCGTGCACACACAACCACTTTGACCGACAAGTGCGCACACAGGCCCGGCAAAAACAATGTCACCGTGCACGGTACGTCCACGTTGACCGGCGAGTGCGCAAACAGGCCCGGCAAAAATGATGTCACCGTGCACGGTACGTCCACGTTGACCGGCGAGTAATTGGGGGGGGGGGGACTTCCTGGTACAGTTTGATCTTGGGCATAGAAATATGTAAAGGTCACATAAATATGTAAATATGGAAATATGTAGATATAAATATGAATTAATGGGGTTATGAAATCCTGGCACAATTTGACCTATTGTATGGATGAGATGAATAGGGAATAGGTGTGGGTAAGGAACCGGGTACAGTTTGACCTATTCTATGGGAAAGATTGCATAAGGTATGGAAAAATATTACAATTTCAATAGAATATGTATCTACATGTAATTGCAACTGAGTGGTGCAATGTGAACGAACAGCTGGTCGGATCTTTAATCCCCCAACAATAGACGGGAGAGGGCGCGTGCCAAGTCAGCGCACTAGTATTGTTACGAAGTTAATCCGATCATCCGACGATACAAAAAGTAATTGGATTTCCGAATGCTCAACAGCAGAAAGCAGCGATAGATGGCAAAAATGAATTTTGCGTTGATCAGACTGAAACGAGTACGATTGTCTATTTGCGAGTACGCACACAGGCCCGGCAAAAACGATGTCACCGTGCACGGTAAGTCCACGTTGACCGGCGAGTACGCACACAGGCCCGGCAAAAACGATGTCACCGTGCACGGTAGCCACGTTGATCGGCGAGTGCGCACACAGGCCTGTCATCGTGCACGGATGGCCACGTCGAACGGCGAGTGCGTGCGCAGGCGCCTGGCTCCCTCATCTTCCGTTTCACAGATTTTGTTTTCGAGTACGGGTACGAGTTGACTCGGATACGACTTGACTTGGGTACGACCTGACTCGGGTACGACTTGGCTGAGGTGTAAATTTTGGGGTACGAGAGGACTCGGGTGAAGTATTATAGGTACAGTCTTCCCTTTCGATTTTGCAAAAGTTGTTGAGTCAATCAGACAGAATGTTTAGTTCATTTTTAATTGGTTTCAGAGAGTCGGGAACGAATACAGTTTTTAATGTGCAGTTAGACCATCCTATTTCGTTTAAGGGGCCATCCAAAATTTTCAATGTTTTTAAATTTGGATTTTTTTTCCAAATTGTTTTGACCCACCTACCCACCCCTATTTTCGATTAAATAAAAAATGATTTGTTAAGCAGTATTAAAAATGCAAATACATGTATAGTGGTGTTCCCAACGTGGCGCACTTCGACATTTACGCCGACTTTCCTCATCAGTGTTGCCAAACTTCTTTGTTGACAAACTTCAAATTCATTCAGTGAAATACTGTTACTTTTACCATATTAATGCTTGCTATTTAAACTCTGTGAACAATTTGGGTTTTATACACGAATTCCAATCATGGACTATCGGTCAATCGTGCACGTATTGTTTGTGCCCTTGTCCTAGGTCCACGATAACAGGTGTGTAAATACTCATCTTTACACATTATATACTACAGGCCATTCTGTATGACTGTACGTTTGTCTGTCTGTATTGGGGACGAGGTTGGAAAACAAACTCGCATAAGGAACGCTGGTGCATAGGCAAGTCAAAATATCTAGCTTTTTGTTTTTTCTTGTTTTTTATGAATAGTGAATTTGGGTTTTCAATTATTTACCTTGACCCACCCACCCACAATTTGGAAAAAAGATCCAAATTAAAAAAAATTCAACATTTTGAATGGCCCCTAAAGGTATAGGCCTAGTCCATCATTTGTAACTTGTGCATTTTGTTCGTTTAAAGCAACAAAAGTGCTCAAATGCTGTATATTTCGAGAAAAACAGCATTCTAGGATCTCCATTTCAAATCAACAAACCTTTCACTTTGTTTGCATAACAAATCTGTCTTTTTTATCAATCTGACCCTTGACATTTTTCAAGACAAAAGGATTGATATATTTTTAATTTTTCCTTCTCAAACAATCGTATTTTTTTCGTATATAGATAGATAAACTTTATTAAAAATCCAAAACTGGAAATTACATGTTGTCGTCTCTCATTAAAAATATAAAAAATTCAACATACGCTACAATATTCAGGAAAAAAAAAATATGGAGATCAATGCGTGTATTCCAGGGGTTAATATCACGCAAAGCACGACAGGAACCAATATGGCGCAGCAAGATCGTACCCATTGAAACGAGGTTGGGTTCTAAGCGGATTAGTGTCTATTGTGTAAACATAGTGTAAAAAAGCTTCCAGACTCTATATACCCATACATGGATTGCCGGCATCTATATATTCATTTATTACATTTTCAAAAGTTAAACTTCATGCAAAAGTGAAGGCAACAAATTGTAGAGACGTTCATGTCTATTTTGGAGAAGTTACCGACATAAAGTACATTTTAGGTCAAAAATCATAAATTCAATGTTGTGCCTTGGCAATGGGACAAATTAGCAAAATTCTTTTGACAGCTCATGGCAAATATAATTGAGTAACAGGGGCGGAGTTAGCTTTTGGGACGGGGGAGGGGAGGACTTGATATGATGGGACTCAGGAGGGAGGTAAGTGAATGCGTGCTAAAGGCACGCTCTGCTGGGGGTTCGGGGCATGCCCAGAAAATTCCTGAAATTTAGGAACTTTAACATTCCATTTATTATTCTGCCCCTTGTCAGCGGCTGAAAGGGCGGGGGCGGGGTTGCAACCTCCTTGTCTGTTACGCCACCGAGTGAAAGTTCGATTGCTAACAAAAATGACAGGGTTGAGAATTGACATGCCAATACTTCCTGGAATATACAGAACAACTGACTCATTCTGTTACAAAACTCCCGCAATGTATTACGTGTAACTTCTAGCGGCCAATGACATTTAAGCTTTTAAAGTGCGGATCTGTTCTCACAAAAAGTCCTTTGATGTCCGAATTGACCAATGCTTGTAATTTTTTTTTGATTCACAGTTTTGCTCCTAAATAGGCGAAGACGACAACCAAAATGCATAGGCCCCCTAAACACTGCTTCGCAGCTTTTGTTGTTGCAATTATTATTCTGATAAGCGGTAAGTCAAGGCTCGAACTGAAGCTTGAAAGAGCATCTATAGATTGCCAGTTTCTAATTTTGCCCTGTTTACTTCCACAGGCTAAGAGCCTACAGGGTGAGTCAAAAAGAAAGTGACCGAATTAGAAAAACTATTAAAAAAATGTGTGGCTTGCCAACCATTTCAGAAATAAATAACAGGATAAAGTACATGGCATTGGCTAGTAACTGTGAACATTTTACGTAATTTGCATACTCTTTTTCCAAGTTATGTCTTTTTTATTATGAAGATTAGAACATTCAGCTGTCCACCACTTATCGATAGGCGAAGCCAGCGAGGGGTAAGGGGGTATTTGCCCCCCCCCAATATTTTTTAAAGACTGCCCTTTTCTATTCAAATGCCTTTTTTTCACCAGCGCTTACCCCCCCCCCTCCATATTTTGTAAAAAGTGCCCCCCTTTTTTTAACAAGTGACCTTTTTTCTGAAAAATTTTCCTTTTTAAAAAAGAAGTCGTGCCCTTTTTTGTGGCATTTGCCGTTCCAGGTGCCTTTAATTTGACTTTCGCGCATGTATCGCCCTGAAAAGCACCATATATTGTCAGTTAGTGTGCACAATCGTCAGTTTTGAACAGCGCCCCCATCGACAGATGGTACCAGACCCTTTTAAGATGTACTTCATCAACCTCGTCCCCAGGGTGTCGAGCAGTAGGCCTACGCGCCCACCACTACCTGCTCTCTCACCCTGGTATTGGATCATTTGCATGTGCAAGATTTTTGAACACGTATGCAAATGAGGAACAGTCTGGTGCCTCGATATGCGTTACACATTAGCGTTTGTTTTTGTATGCGGTGTCTGGGGTAAAAACAGAGTCAATTCGTAGCAGCGCGAGCACGGCGTGAGTTACGAAAACACGATTTTTGAAATCAAACTGTTACGATCTTATCGAGACAACATGCAGTATCATATTTCATAATCATATGAGCAAATTGAAAAGGAAATTAGTATTTTCGAGAAGGCGTGGACGAATGATCGCGAAAACACGTACTGCACGTTGTAAATAATAGCACCAAGTGCACGATAAAAATCCATTACTAGCCAATTGCGGTATCCAATCAGGATACAGGAAGAAAGTTTCCTATCCAGGGTTTACTATTGGAAACGCGGTTGGAAATAAAGTAAGCACTGGGGACGAGGTTGGTACTTCATTGGTACATCAAAACAGTAATTAATAATTGGGGTCACTTTCTTTTTGACTCACCTTGTATATTGGATTAATTTTTGACTCGGTGCAGAATAATTGCATACTTTATTGTATTTCTGAAATTACGATTAAGATTGTCAAAGAAACTAGGGCCAGTATTGATGTTTGGAGCTCCAACTTCAAGAGTTTTTTTTTAACGATAGTTTGGTAATGATTAAAGATGTATTGTTCGTAAACTTCAACAAGTAAGTTATATTCCTCCTGACGAATTTTAACCTTTTTGAGATTTTATTTACAGGAGCCAAAAAAACACTTCCTATTTTGGTTGCTTTTTCCACACATAACTGGAAACCAGTTTACCCTACAAGAACCAAATGCGGGCCTTTACTAATTTGAAATTTATACAAAATTATCTGATAACTAAACGTTGGTCAAATTTGTGGTTAATGTCCCATTGTATAGTGAATATTAAACGTTAATTGCATTGCTACAACCATTTTGAAACAAAGTGTACTTTCTTTTTAGCTGGGTGAAGTTTGAAAAAGCTTCATAATCTTAAGTGGCGTTTTTGTTGTTTGTTTTGACTACAGTGGGTTGGTTAAAATGGAACTCACTCATCAACACATGCAACGTTGTCTTGCCTCAAACGGTTGTTTACTCCACCGCAACTTGCTCCTCCCCAACTAAGCAGTATGTGCCGAGATTGGTCCTCACAACGTCCAATGAGAAGCTCGTGGATTTCACCGAAAATCTGTTGAGGAGTATTGAGAAAACAAAAACCTACCCTGTCCTGATAGTCGACGCTGAAGACGAGACGTCCTTGAGGGCGCTTTCAAATCACACCTATCCCAAACTGCACTTCAGAAATTCGCATGACGTCAGTAAACTGAAATTATTGCTGGAGTACCTTCAACTCGGTTTGGAGGTGTTTTACGTCAATGCCGATGCGTACTGGTTTCGAGATCCTTTTCCTTATTTCGAGGGAAGTTTCGACTTCGCTCTAACAAAGGACAGGCCGCGAGTGTGGAATGTTGGTCTGGGGTACTACAAACCAACGCATCGCACACTGCAATTCCTGAAACGGTGGATAGAGCTCTTAGAAACTACGAAAGGAAGCAAAGAGCAGGACATCTTGAACAAACTGCTTTCGTCGAGGTATATACCGGATCTCAAGATCAGACTTCTGAACAGTGAAAACTTCCCTAATGCTGGTTACTTTTTCCCAATGTACCCGGCCTTAGAAAAGTGCCGAATAGACACAAGCGATACCATTGTGTTCTTTGCCGAGTACATAGCAAATCACACGGAGAAAAAAACGGCGTTACAGAAATGCAAGATGTGGATTAATAATGGTACCGTGGGATTTTAAACAAAAGGCACTGTTTTTTTTCTCAGTGAAGTAGAGATAATTAGTTGTATTGTCATTTGCTTTAAGGACTGGACACCACATAACACCAGGGGTGCTGTTCATTATACCCAAGGGCGGGATTTATCAGGATTGTCCCTGATTTTAGGAATTTGTGTCAGGACTTTCGTAATATCATGATTTTTGAAGAATCCCTTTTGAAATCTGGAATCCTATAGGTTTTACCGTAATATTATTGTGTTTTTACCTATACGAAGGAGTTTACGAACCACGCAAAAGGGATATTGTGTGGGGTACCTGTTGGTAAAGGCAAATATATATATTATTGACCTTACCTATACGCTCCGGGGCGCTAGGTGACCCTCAAACACTCAGCTGATTAGTTCGTGGATATTTCGTTCTCCCTCAAGTTCACTCCCTGGATGCCAATGTACACGAAACCTACTGAAACCAGGGCATTGAATGTTTTCTCTATACTGCTCGTTCTCGATTTTTCAAAACTATTTAATACAATTGAACGGTTGGAAAATTCCAAGATAACCAAACAAAATCCGTATTTTGTTTCTTACCACACAAATCTGAGGAAATGATCCGATAGCCCATATCCCCCGGTCAGAAAGTGAGAGGCAATATTGTAACCAACCATCCTACAGATGTAGTCGCTTGATAAGGCCTACTTTCTTCAATAGGCATTCCTTTTACAGTATGGAAAACATTCTCGGGTTTACAATTTACTGTTATACCGCGCTTCTTAACTTTACTTAACTATAATAAGGCCTGTTTCAGTTGTGCTTATGTCGTGTCGAATGAAATTGAATTCAGCGCGACGTTAGAACCGTGTAAGCACGACAGTGGTTTCAAGCATCGAACTTAATCACAAACGCCGATCGAATTCAAATACATCTAACATGGCGGACCAAAATTTACTAAAAAAACGCGATTTTGTGTTCTTCAGTCAAATTGGAGTTGCATGAAGAAAACTAATTTTGCTTTAGAAGGTTCTCCTTAAACAAGTAAGGTACTGATTCCCGGAGGAAAGCTTTACTGGTAAGCTTTATCTGTACTCTTTTTGTTGTCAAGGCCAGATGAGAACGTTACGCTAATTCCTCATCTGTCAATGGGTGCAAACCGGTAAATAGGCGGAAAATTGTCAATACGCGGCCAAATCACAATTTGTGTACCCAAATAGAGCGTCAGAGCATTTTGCTGAACATGAACTTGAAGGTTTATAAAAAAAAAATGGGTGGAAGCCATGCACTGGAGTGTGATCTCGTATTTTTGTAAAATTTTCATGAAATTGCGCCCTAAAATTGCTCTAATTTCCAATGGAGCGCAGGCATTATTTTTGAAAATGGCGATGGGCCACCTGACTTCTTTTCGGGGTGATCATCTTTGGATGGAATTTCTCACAAAAGTTACCATAAATTATGAAAGAACAAAAAATGAACAGAAAATAAAAGATTATGAAATAAGCTTTCATTTGATGGGTGCTGTGAGTAGTTTTAGTTATTGTTTGGAAGCACGCGTAATTATTATTGAAGTCTATAAATAAATTAAGTAAGTCTTAATTTTATGGATGACTGGTCATTCTATTTTACATAACCATGAAAATGCAAATCATAAGTACAATGGAAACGATTAAAGTTAATGAATCAAGTTTCAATGAGTAGGCCCTATGCGATGAAAGGAAGATCAAAGGGAATGGCAGATAAAGGTTAACTAAAATATTATGAATAAAGCTAATGACAATAATTACTTGAATTAAATCATTTGGGCAGTTGACAAAGCATAACGTCAACAGGTCTTTAACCAAATTAAATTGTTATCTGATATTTTCTAACTATCGAGATGATAGTAAAATTAAGACACTTGACCAAGCAACAAAGGTCAATAATCTTATAAATCAGATTAAATGATGTTTTTAGTCTAGGTATCTCTGTTAGTCTAGGTAAAAAAACTAAAGCAAAGGATGTGATAACTTTAATTTATGAATATAATAAAGTTATATTTAATTATTGAAAGACTCCGTAACCCCACAAGTCATGCTGTAATTCAGAATTACTTATTTGGTGAATAAAATGACATAAATGGAAAAACACCCCTGGGATTCTTGAAAATTTTCCAAAGGTCGCCAAATTTGTTAATGTGTTTGTTTGGTGATTATTTGTTTACTCGCACACACGTTGCGAGCATGTGCATACCTAAACGATGTTCACTGCAGTAGCACGACGCGCGGTTTTAAACGTCGTGCTACTGCCCGTGTCGAATACAATTTCAATTCCAAGTTTGGCCGGCCAACTTCGAATTGAAATTCTATTCGATACGGCAGAAGCACGACGTTTGAAACGGCGATGAGCACGGCAGACCCTTGTCGAGCTAAAGTCTTCTGCCGAGCCGAAATCAATAATTGGTTTCAATCGTCGTGCTTGTGCAGTGTCGAATAAAGAAAACTCAAGTTTATTTCTATTCGACACGGCATAAGCACGACGTCTGAAACAGGCCTTTGCAGGGTGGCTTCATTTTCAGTAGGGGCACTCAATGAGATATTACCAATGCAAACAAATTTCTGTTTCAAGTTTAAGGGGGTTAGGAAAGGCCTCAATGGAGGAGGGACAAACCAAATGCTCCTCCCCCTTGGCGTCACTCTATAAAGGTTATTTGGCAGAAAGAATGGAATCACTACTTCGATATCTATTTGGGCCATCTCCCAAATTTCTGAAGCGTGCTTAGGACAGTAGGCATTTCGATGATAATGACAATGATTATGAAAATGACGATGACTACAATGCCGTTCTTAAAATGTTCTTTTTCAGAATAATCTTGGTCACAATGCTTATTAAGTTTGCGCCTTTGCTATTTGATATTACCTTAAGTTTAAAACATGCAAGCAGGCCCGGATTGTCAAAGAGGCACAGTAGGCACTGTGCCTAGGGCTTACAAAAAAAAGGAAGCGTACGAAAATATCGCAGTGCCATAAAAAAGGGGCCTACCCACACACATAAGTGTGTATTTGCCTGCAATCGGGGACCCCCTATTGTCCCGCTTTTGCTTGTACTTTAACTTTTTGGAAGACGTACCTCCCATATGTTTTGTACACATTGCCAAATTGGGGACCTTCGGGAATTGGGGACCCTATTTATCCTCTATTGTTCAGCGTCCCTATATTGAATGCAAAAATAAACTCTCTCTCTCACACACACCCACGCTTACATAGGCATAGAAGTGGGGTACTTCCTTTGTTCTCGTGTACTAAACTTTTGCAACGTCACACACTAATTTCAAAATAATCTTTTAACCTGAATTAATTTCCTGAGCTGAAATTCGGACTTAATATCCCTTTTCTAAAACTCTTCCATTTGCGACGGATTATTAAACCCACCTTGGAAATTCCTAGTTTTTGAGTAAAATCCATATATCTATTTCGTGAAAAACTTGTGGGGTACCAAAACGGTACCCCGCAAGTCGGTGGGCATTCCTTGTGGGGTACCTCCCATTGTTCCGGTACCCCACAAGGCAGTGTTTGTACACGCACACACCCACGTTTGTTTTACATACCTAGTGTGGACATTCCTTTGTTTTTGTGTAGTTCAGGAAAACCATTGAAAAAACTAATTTTTCTTAAACTGTGAAAACTCTTTCAACCCAATTTTTTTCTTATTCCCTTTAGTGTTTCTCTTTATTTTCCACATATAAACCTAACCCCAAAATGCCTCTAAACCTGTTTTCCAGAGAGGGGAAAACCTTTTGTGGCCCGGTGGGCAAGTCCACACAACGTCGCTGTTTCCTGGTTAATGTGGACATCTTGTGTTCGGAATTCCACACAGCTAATGTAATGCTTGTCTACCCTAGCAGACAAGTGTGTATTTACCTGCAATCGGCACACCCTATTGTCCCTCTTTTGTTTTGTTTGAAGACCTCCCATATGTTTTGTACACGAATCCACATTGAGGACCTTTCGGAGATTGGGGACCCTATTGTCCTCTATTGTTCAACGTCCCCTATTGAATGCAGAAACAAACTCATAAACGTGTACAGCCGCTTAGTTATGGTGTAAATCGAGGATTTTCATTTGTTCCTCAACCCTTTTCCTCTTTTGCAACAGCTCTCGTTGATTTTGTTGACGTTTTCTAACCGAGAAGTCCTCAATTTGGTTCCTGTCCTTAATTCATCGATGATTTGCACGTGTGTATATACCGTAAACAAAAGCATATCGTTACATAACTCGTGTGGACATTCCTTTGTTTTCGTATAGAAAAACTAATTTTACTCACACTGTGAAAACTCTTTCAACCCAACTTTTTCCCCTATGATTCCCTTGAGCACGGGTAGCGCCAGTATCACCCTGGGAGGAAGGTACACTTATCATCATTTATGCTTACGTCACCATTTCGCCACGGAGGTCATTTGGCATCACTGGAAAACATGAATTATGCAGTACGTATGCACATGGATGTCCCGGATGATGGTAGTAGATGCATGCCTTGTTGTGAACACGTGCATCACATGCACCGCGCTATACTAGCGCTGAGCGTGGACTGAGATCAGGCGTTATGTATGGGCTCCTGAAAACTGTGCAGAAGCCTTGAGTGTAAAACAGTGTTCGTTTCATTTATTTAAATTAAACAGCAGTACAGGGTGAGTAATAAAAACGCTGAACCCAAACCCCCGAAAATGTATTTCATATTAAAAAAAAAATGTAGCACCAAAATAAGTAAAATGACTGGAAAACCTATTCCAGAAACTACTTTTAGATAAAAAAAATACTGAAAATGCTCAATCCGTTCAAATAATATCACCATTAAAACGCAATGACCCTAAAACCTGTTTCGTCAAAAAAGAGCAATTTATTGTGCCATCATTCTGACTGCTTGGAACAACGAAGAAATTGACACAGAATACTTGTTTCATCAACTGTCAACAATTAGTAGTAGTAGCTGTAGTACACAATATCTTTATTAACAACCCTGGTCATTAGCAGTTCGCAAACAATGCATGATTTATAAAATCCACTTTTGGTAAATGATGGGCATTCAAAAGAACTTTGTTGAATGTTTTCAACTTTTAAACTGAGGTTCAACTTATCCCTCAGTGGTGATGTTTGAATTTGAAAACAAAAGTTAATTGACAAAGTTAAAATCAAGTTAGTTGTTCAAAGCACCGGCCGGCCAAGTTAAGATTTTTAGCACTTTTGTGCTAAGAAACGAAAATGGTCCCCCCCTACGGAAACTTCCAAAAGTTGATGAACATCACTGAC